TGTTTTAAAACCTTGACTATACATTTGAGTTTTAGTGGTATGTTTGAGTCTAACAGTAGCAGAGAAAAATATACAATTGTCTGTCAAACTGGTAAATTTCCCTGTAGGTCAGCTGACAGCAGGCAAGGGACAGTTTCCTCTCCTGTGCCCTGTGTCTCTGTAATACAGACGTGTACACACAGAGGAGTGACGAGCAGAGGCATAAAAACTTTGCAAGTTTGGAATCCTGACACAGTGTTTGTAGGAACACTCAAAACATGGAGGAGGAAAAACAGCCTCCTGATTTCTTGGCAGAATGGAAAGCCCAACTCCATTGGCTAAATGATCCCATATGTGGTAACCACCAAAACTGGGGAGGGGGGGTGGGACTTGACATAGGCTGCCGGGAGATGCCAGTACTCTGTATAGACTGGCTAGACGTGGGCAAGTTGAGAACCTCATTGAGCCTGTCTCCACTTCTCTAAAATGGGGTGATGACGGGTAGTGGGAAAGGTGATAAAAATGGTATACACTATTCATGTACCAACAGCTTACTGACTCTTCTGGACCAGGAGTCAGCGCTCTGGGATCCAGGCTCTGTATCTTAGAATTGCTGACTTTCAGAGAGGGTCATGAATTTGAGTCAGGTGGTCTTTCTTTACTCCATCTTTATAGGCTTTTACTTTCTTATTGAGGAAACAGGGACATTTTGTTAGTGAATTAGAGGTGGGGAGAAAAAGGGAAAGCCATTGGAGTCATACCGAGCTGGGTAGGGATTCCAACTCACTGATTTATAACTGTATGTGTGACCTGGGGCCAGTATGAACATCAGAGCCTCAGTTTTTCATGTGGGAAATGGGAGTAGCTTCCAGTGGTTTTAATCATCGCTTCAGCGCATCGCTATGTGTATTTTGTGGGTAGCACAGCAACTGAGACAAAAGCTATCATTGATAGGAATGGACTATCTCTCACCTGAGAGGCCCTGGCAAGGACAAGAAAAGAAACTGACTCTATCTTCCAGCACACCTGAGCAGCTGCTCTGTAAACCAGGGTCATGGGGGCTCAGAACAAGGGGCTTTGATGCTTACACAATTAGAATGGAGTTTTCCACCATGCTGGACATGGACAAGATGGATCACCTGGACTGAGAAAATGGGCCAGATATGCCTGAGGCCATCTGGGGGAGAGCTGCAGCCACATGGTTGGCACTATGCAGCCCTCCTCATCTGGAAGGCATGTTCTGATGCTCCAAAGCAGCTGGGACCAGAGACTGTAGCCCAGGGAAGTAGGGGTTGGTTGTTTGTTTTTAGCAACAAGAAGTCACAATCCTCTCCCTTCCCCCAGCTCATTTTAGTACATACCTAGGGGCCTCTTTAGGATCTCCTTCACATCCACAGAAACCTTTCCCCAAGTCTCAGAGGCAGGCTAAGGGCCTCTCTAATCCCTGGGTTTTGCTAGACATGGGAGCTGAAGCCAAGTGGTCTGGGGTTTAGCCAAATTCACTGTTTCCTGGTACAAAATGTTTGCAACAGGTAACCATTTGAGAGAGGGGATACTTTTAAGAAAAAGCAAGTCGGCTAACACGGCCCCTCCCACCCATTTGCTCTTTGGTGAGGGTCCTCAGCTTTCCAATCCCACCCTAATTTCCCTTCACTTAGGCCTCTGAACTACCACTTTGCTGTTCATACTGGAATGTTGGGGGCTTTCTCATGCTTGACGGACTTGACTGCCTCTCCCGCTGCGCAGCTGAATCTTTTTGAAGGGTTCTTTCTCATCTTTTAAAAGGGTTTACCCACACCTGAACTCCGTACTCTTTTCCTTGAGTCCACCTGTCCCTGACCTTGCGGAGAGGGCACTGTGGGGGTGGCAGTAGGGGGTAGGGCCACCGTGTGCTCAACTCTGATTTTAGCCTTCAATCTCTCTGAAAGCCAGACTGGAGTTGGAAAGCTTTGGAGTCAGTCCTCAGCAGGCATTACAGCTTGGGGTCTAGAGGGCTGCGAGACTGCAATGGGGCCGCAGCAGACTCTTCCACAGCTTGGAGCCCAGCTGTTTGTTGCCTGGAGCCGGAACCCGAGGTGAGAGACCTCCTCCTCTGTTTTCCCAGATGCCTGAGCTGAGCATATGCTTCACTCTTCTAAGCAATTTTTAATTCATAGCATAACTTTGGGAACCTCTAAATAACCGTCCTCAGAACCAAAACAACGCCTGCAGTCTCAGCGAATAGAGGAGGCTACCCCAAGGAGGGGGTATATGGGAGACCAGAGTGGCCCTGCTGTTCCTCACTGCCAAGTCTTCTTCCTGGAAATGCAATTGGACCCCAAGGTATTTTGTAGCTGGTTTCAAAATGGTTTCGATTAGGACTTTGTAAAGTTAGATTAAAACAAAACAAAAACCAAAACATCGAATACGTGCTTACAGAGATTAAAGGCTACACACACACAAACACACACAGGCAAATACATAGAGCATGCAAATATATACCAGAACAATGTATAATTAATATAATGTATATAATAAATATTAGATAATTAACATGACTATAAAATAACATAGGAGTTAGATGCCATAAATTAAACAACACTAGATGAAAATCGATACATATTATACCGTAAACAGTATACAATGCAACCAATATAAGTTGTAGATCCTGTGTATGAAACACAATGACCTCTTCTGAAATACACAAGGTGTGTTGGAGTTTTATGTCTGCAGCATGGGAAAGGAAGCCACCGGTGATCTAGATCTGCTGTGTATGCCGAGCCTCCAAATCTTCACCTATCCTAATTCCCCAGAGCCGACCCGGTCTTCAAGACGGATTAAAATATCCCTCCAAAGGTCAGTTTCTTGTTGGGATAACGGAATTGCAGGATTTCTTACAAGGGTCAGAATCTGACTGGGGGGAGGGCGCAAATTTCACAAATGACACAGGAGGGCACACTCACATGGTCACTGTAAGCCTGTTCGGTCCCTAGAGCGTATGCCTGAGTGTTCTGTCTCACGCACGCAAAAACAGTTTAACTCGCCGTTTACCAACTTAGGCATTTACAGTCAATTTAAACCTTGAAATGAATCTTCGTTTGTGAGATCTGAACGCTGGAGAGGCCCTTCAGCACGATGGTTGGAAAGGAAGTTTCGAGACCCATGGACGAGTTGGAGATTTAAAGCAAAGTAAAACGCACAGTTAGAAAAATTATATTAAGGGCGCTTTCACAAGTAAAGCAGTTTATTAGTTGCTGCATGCTCTTCCCAGGAAGGAGAAATTAGAGAAACACTTCCACGGAATGTTACCCAAAAGAAGGACGCAATCTGAAAGGAGGAAACAGCGTCGGATGGGGTTTGCAACCTGAAACACTGGCAATTAATTTTCTCCGAAGTCACCCAGGTCTAGAACCTCGACTTCGGTTGAAAGCTGGGTGTGTGCGTTAAGCAAAAGCGCTCTTCTATTTTCGAAGGGAAAGCCGGCAGGCCTAGAGCTGCCGCGGGGCTGGTCCGCTGCTGGGCTGGTCCGCTACCCAGCTCCGGAGTCTGAGGCCCCAAAGCTGCTGCGGACAGCGCCCGGGCAGCGAGAGCAAAGAGCGTTTATTTGCAATCACTTTAACTCTTGGTGGCTGGATCTTTCTAGCGCCCTGTGGCGGGCGGAGTGTTAGACAAGCCCTGAAGTCTGTAGCTCTCACCTCAGAGTCAATATTATCTCAGATGGGCACAATAGACCGGAATGAAAAGCTAATATTGAACCAATGCGGTCCCTGCTCGCGCCGCTACGATGCCTCCCTTTGTTGCGCAGCCCCGGGCGAGCCTCTGGTAGCCCAGCTAAGCGGAGGGCTGCGGCGGTCGGGGCCCTCGTCGGCCTCAGGCGGACTGCAGCTGCTGCAGCACCCCCGGAGGCCTCTCAGCACCCCCACTCCCTGGCGGCCTCTTCTCTAACTGGCAGTGGCTGGTTTGAGTGGAAAGAGAGCCACACCGCGCTTCCCAGCTCTCCAACAGGGTGATGCAAACAGGAAAGCCAGGCCTGGTGAGTTCGGCTTGTATGTGCCAGGGGCCCCTGACTGCTGTGTTTCATGGGGCATGGGCAGCTTGGGCACCGGAGCTAGAGTCATGAGCCCTAGAAGAAGCCATAAGACTACTCGTTTCAAAGTCTAGAGTTGTTGGCAAAGGGTAGATACTCAAGAGGGTGTTTTCGGGCGTCACAGGAATCTCCACGATAGGTAGGTATGCAGAACTAAAGCGCTAAGAAAGCCCCAGACACTCCTTTTTGCCTCATGCTTAATGCTGATGATGTTCTGTGACCACTAGAAGAGGTTTCAAGACTTCTTTGAATCTCCAATGTGGAAAGACACAGGAAAGCACACAGGCAACAGGGCTGCTGTTCCACCCACAGAAGCACAGAGGCCCCTACCCACATCCTCGACCCCCAACTCCCAGTTAGGCATTGCTAGTTCCCAGAGGGGAATGTGGCTTTCAGGACAGATGGTGGGCCAGCGCAAGCAATCAAGAGCCAGGGTTACAAAGATGCAAGAAAGCATGAATTGGCTTTGTGGCTTGGGTCAGTTTGGGTGACCCATCTGAGGGTGGGGACTCTTTGCTGACCTTTCAAGTTGGCTGGAGTGTGTGCTCTAGAGACTGGGTGGGAGGGTGACTGTGTTGCTCAGAGTTCCTAGGGGTCCAACCAACGCATCTTGTTAGGAGATGGCAAGGTGGCACAGTGAGTGAGCGTAAACCTCTCTGACCCTCAGTTTTCTTACCTGGAAAATGGGCATCTTACCATTCACCACACTTTGAGGTTCACTGACTCATGGGTGTGAAAGGACATGCTTAAAGCCCAAACTTCACATGGGAGAGGAGCTGTTTCTCGAATTTTTCTGGCATTCTCCCTAACTTTCAAGGAGAGCTCAAGCAGTTGGGAACAAAACTGCATGAGAGCCCAGGAAGGTGCCTGAAGGACTCCATGCACACACCCTGGACCTAGATGTGCCTTGGAGGAGCAGCTTTGGGGTAACGGGGGTGGGGGTGGGGGTGGGAGGTGGGGTGGGGTGGTGCCACACCCTATCACCCAGGAGTATCTGCAGACAAGGCTGTTTCATGTTCTTCTGGGCAGTCGCCTAGGAAAGCCTGTCCGTGTCCCCTGGCTCCTGCGTCCTTGTGTGTGAGAACATCTGTTTTCCTTGCCTTGCTTGGCCTTAATCTCTCATTTGAAGGCAGCTGATGGAGAAGGAAATGGTGACATCCCTCCCCTCTTGATCATTTCTTTGCTTTCAATAATGAGTCATCAGGGCTGTGTGTGCTGAGGATTGACGAGTTTCAGTGACGGCAGTAAAGCCCAAAGGCCTGGTGTGTCTCCTGGAGTATGTGGAGTTCTGGACTGGAACGCTGGGTTTAGAAAAGAATGGTTTCCAGAGACCCCGAAACTCACAGGCTGTCATTGACAACGCATCTTTCCCCCAGTCACCCAGCACAGCAGAAGCCAGGACCCGGGAGAGACCACCTCCAAATCTGCAGTTTGAGCAGTAAGGCAGAGGGCAATACTCCAAGGCCCTCTATATACCAGCCGGGGTTCCAGCAGGCTCTATACGGATTCTACCGCGTCACCTCAAGAGAGGTGCTCGGTTGCTCCGTGAAAGATGAGGTCTGTGCGTGTCTGGTGGCAGGGACAGGAAGGGTCATCATAGTCCCATCGCTGTAGCCCAGTCTTGTCTTGTGGGTTTGCAGTTAGTGATACTCTGGCACCTGCGCAATAATCAGAGACTCCCCCCATCTCGGACTGTCCTGCACCCGCCGCAAGGGGGCGCACATCTAGGAGAGCGGCACCTGGCAACCCAGTTCTAACCCTACTCAGGACCAACACAGGGCCATTCTCTAAGCCACAGTGGTTGGGCAGTGGTATCTGGGTCCTCAGGCATGGAGTTGTGGTCGCCTTTGCGCAACAACTGACTGTCTCCCTGCCTTAGGTGGTCCCAGTCTCCAAGTCCTTGTTAGAGCGGAACCTGTCCATTCCTCCCTGCTCCCTTTACAGGAAAGGCTGGCTCCTAGAGAAAGGGAAAATACAGAGAGGAACTCTGGGGCTGAGTTGAAGCCGAAGGAAGCAGGTGAGACGCAAGGTCAAGTCACCCTCCCTTCTCAGTAGCCAAGAGCCTCCTCAGAGGTCCTCCTCTGTTTTGAACCGTGACTGGTGGCAGTGGGCTGCAACCCCTTGCACTTTCAGCAAACTCCGAGGGTGTCGCGCCCGTGCGCGTCGCTTGCCACTAGGTGCCGCTGCGCACACGTAGATTGCGGCTCTGGGCTGCCTTGCCGGCTCCATGAGAGAACTCTGGGGAGGATGCCAGAAAGGGATTTACCGTGATAATTTTAAAAAATGTTTTTAAGGTCTTAATTCTCCTTTTTGTTTTCCCACAGCCGCCCTAGCGTTCAGAGACCAGAGGGACTGGGATCACAGTTACAGAGCTGGAGAAACTTTGTAGCCAACCCTAGGTTGGTCCTTCTCAGGACACCTTGCACAAGCCCGGGGCCCACTGGTGAACAGTGGGGCTCACCATGCTAGGGCACTGCATGATCCTAACACTAAGGAAAATGTAAAGAATGCTGAAAGTGAGCCAAGCTCATCTATACCCAACGGCCTGTAAGACACTGATTCTGCCTTGTGTGATAACCACGCACTAGTCATCCCAGGCACCCCGACCCACTAGAGCTGCACGATGTTATCCACCCACCCCAGATACCCCTGGCCTAGCACCCACACAGGCGGAGGCGAGGGCTCTGCTTCTCTGCTAGCAGAGACCTGGCAGGAAAATCAGCACAGCAGATGGGTATCACAGATTCCCAGAAACCTCTGCCCTTTGATACTTCTAGAGACTCAAGAATCCGGGCTGATCTCACCCCCAGCACTTCCTGAGCGAAGTTCACGGCCTTTGAGGGGAACATGAGGGAGTATGGCAGGAGTGAAGTCAGTGTGAATGCCTTTGTACAACTTCATTGATCATTCTGTGAAGTCCTGGCTGGGGCCAGAAAACGACAGCAACATCCGCGAGAGGAGCTGGCTTTTATTGAATGAATTAACGTTCATTATGCGCTAGACACTGTCCTAACAATTTGCTTTGCTTATCTCTTGAAATAATCCCAAATGCTACTGCATTATTATCATTCCCATTTAGAGGAAGAGAAAAAAGAGGCAAAGAAGGTAGGTGACTTGCCCAAGGTCACACAGTAAAGCTATGAGTGTGATGGGGGAAATTTGATTAGGTATGATTACAAATAGAAAAATTCACTTCGTACTGTACAGTTTTGAAAATGGGTTGTGTAATTATCTTCACTCTGATAAAGAACACTTTGATCATGCTGCCATCCAGAAACTTACCGGCCACTGCTACTGTCTGCTTCCTAGACACAAGGGCTGTATTTTACATACAACAAAATGAGGTCAGGGGAGATTGAGATGTTGACCCAGGTCGTTCAGTAAGAGACAAATATATGATCTTGATCACATGTGCCTTCTATTCCTCTGCCTGCAAAATCTATGATGTTCAACCCTCAGTGACTTGGGGCGCCCCAACTGTGTGTGTACAGGTACTTAACCAAACAGCCCCTTCTTGGGTCTTCAAGGAACAGCGGAGGTACGAATTCTGCTAGGCCAGACGCCAGATGGAGGGTCTCCATCTCTGAGCCCTGGGTCCCAAGCCGGACTTGAAGCCCAGAGTCCTGGTGCGCCTCTGCTGGCCAGTGTGGTTAATGAGTTACTCTCTAGTTAATTCCTCCACAGGTCGCCCACCTGGGAGGCCAGATCCTTACCGGGCACCTCGGGCTGAAGGCATGAATTAGCATAGATTACTGGGCTTCCTGGGCTTCTGCTCCCTGCCGGACTCACCTGAAACCTGCCTTTCTTCTTCAGTAGAGGTGGGGTGGGAGTGGCATGGAACCCCCTAAGGTTCAGGTGCTTGAGGCAGAGGTACTGAATACTCCAGTTTCCTTCAAAATTCAGGGACCTGCAGGCCACCCAGAGCCCACCTCCAGTGTCAATTCTAGTGGTAGATGAGCAGTTTGCAAGAGGTTGGTGGCTTGCCGAAGATACCATGAAATTGGTGAAATGTCACTGCCTCGGGCAAGAGACTGGGGGCCCTTGTCTGAAGCTAGGTGCTCATTCTCTTAGGACATTTCCCTGGTACATGTTGGCACATAGTGGTGAGGCATTAGCCAGTACCAGCTGCACATGAAGCACCCAAGGACAAACATTTTAAACCCACACTATGGGGGTCCAATCAAATCTCCCAGACAGGCCTGGATTCCTCAGCCCTCAAAGTCAGTAACTGTGATACCCTCAGCCAAGTTCACAAGTGCTAACTGGGTGGAGTTGGGGGTGGAGGCACCCACATTTGGTCCCACAGCCTGAGTGAAGCTTTTAGTGGTCCTAATTTGGAGTCAGAGTTTCAGGCCCCTTCTGGAGGCCCAGGCCCACCTTCTTGCCCTCCTCCAGAGGATTTGTGGTGTGACATGTGGGAGTGTTTGTTTCTAGCTTCAGAAGCTCCCAGTTGCCCCCAGCTCCTCTGAAGCTTGCTTGGCCAGGCACAGGCCAAGACTTCTACCCTTCACTGTGTTTCAGAGACCTGAGTACTGAGAGGCCTCTATCTCCACAGCCCAGATAAGACCAGGGAGAGACTTCTCATTTGGGGAATGGTTCAGGCCTGAAAGAGCGTGGCCTTCAAATGCACACCATTTTCATAGTGCTGTATCGAATGCCTACAACCGTGGGGCTTTCCAAAAATGGGGCAAAGGAGCAAGGCCATCTGGAAGTGAAGGTGAAAACGGGCCAGGACGAAAGACTGGTGGTTCAAGGTCTGAAGTCCAAGGCAAGGTCAGATTTATATCTCTGTGAGAGCAAAGCTGGGCAGGCTCATGCCTGTCTGCTGGGTTATCTGTGAGAGTGTGTTTGCACACACTTGAATACTCTTGGGGGATTCAAAGTGAAGGGGCAGCAAAAATAGCTCCTGTGGTCTCCAAATGAATCTGTCTGGAGCCTCAACAACACCAGAAACTCCTTTCTCAGCTCCCATTCTACCTAGGGGTCCCTGAGCTTCTACCTTCTCACAGGTAGAACTCTATACAAGAGACACACACAACCTAAACAACAGCAGATGAAAAACAGGGAAAGGAACCCTTTATTGCCGGACTTCCTGGAGCGTCCTAAGGCCCAGACCCCTGGTGGAATCAGATGGCTTTCACACTCCCTCTAGAGGACTTCACATCTCTCTTCTGCAGATCTACTTCTCCCGGGTCTCAGGCAACCTAGTCACCAAACACAGACATTTTATCCCTCTTAAGATAAATGGCTTCAACCTGGGAGTAATAGATTTAAAGGACGCCGGGAAAAATTTTTATCATTAATTGTAAACGTGCAAAATACCTGCTGGTACTCCACTTTAGAAGAATGTAATTGGCAAAGGGTGGGTGGGTGGGGGAGGCGGCTGATGAATAGATAATAGATCTTTAACCACCAATAAACAGAGAGCAGCGCCAGCAGGCTGGGGGATGTGATCATAATTATGCCACAGCGTGAGCCAATGGGGACTGGAGAAGTCGGCCCTAAAATCATCCCAAAACCGAAGGCGAGCTCGAAAATACGGACAGGGCCTAGGAGCGGAGACGCGATCCTAAGTGCCTAGTAGTGAAACCCAGGTTTGCAGAGCAACTCAGCCCGGGGACCACAGATGTCAGAATAAAAATAGGCACAGTAATAATAACAATAATGGTAACAATGTCAACGCTACTAACGACAACGGAGCGATAACACAATCACCACTTCAGCTTTTGACCCGAGACTCCTTTCCCAAATATCCTCACATATCCCAGAGAGAACTGTTTTGGGGAAGGAGGTGAGCGCCCTCGGGACAGGAAAAGCAGACACTCTAGGGTGAGAGCTGGAAGCCCACCGCAACCGCGCGGGCACGGCTGGCTTCTCAGGTTTCCACTTGCAACGAACCAGCCGGGTCAAAGACTGCAAACGCGTGGACCCTGGAACCTCGAAGCTACGCTTGGTTGGAGGGTTGGGAGGACCCCCCTCCTCGCGCGCCTAGGAAACCTCGGGAGTTTTGCTGGGGGTGGGGATTGGTATGAGTGAAGCGGGTTAGCCCTCGCCCGGAACCAGTCCCCGCCCGCTTACCCTCGCCGGACTCCCGAAACCGTCTCAGTGACCCGGACGCCGGGCGGCAGAGGACAGCCGCAGCGGAGCTCAGGGCGTGAAGAAATCTGCGCATCCGTCGGTGCTTCAGTCCTAGCAGCTCCCGCCCCGCAGGCTTAGGATCCAGGGGTCCGCAGCAAAGGCTGCGCGGGCCGAAGACTCTGCAGGGACCTGGGTGCCCCGGAGGGAGTGGTGTTAGTGCAGTAGGAGGCGGTGGCTGAGGGGGAGGAGGTGGGGAAAGAGGAGGAGGAAGAGGAGGAGGAGGAGAACGAGGAAGAGGAGGAGAAGAGGGGAGCGGAGGAGGCGAAAGAGGAGGAGAGAAGCCGCAGCGGGCGCCGAGGGAGCGAGGGAGCTGGCCCGGAGCGACGGGCGAAGGCACCGAGAGGTCCGCGGCCGAGCGGGCGGCTGGAGGCACAGCCGGGGCAGCGGCGCCGACTCCGTTCCACTCTGGGCCGGGATCCAGGCCTCCGGGTTCCCAGGCGCTCGCCTCCCTCTGACGCACTTTAAAGAGTCTCCCCCCTTCCACCTCAGGGCGAGTAATAGCGACCAATCATCAAGCCATTTACCAGGCTTCGGAGGAAGCTGTTTATGTGATCCCCGCACTAATTAGGCTCATGAACTAACAAATCGTTTGCACTACTAGTGAAGAAGCGAACACTTCCATGGATTGTCCTTGGACTTAGGGCGCCCTGCCCGCCTTTTGCAAAGGAGAGAAAACTTTTTTTGCCTCCCCCGAGAACCCCCCCTTCCCTGCCTCTAACTCCAATCTCCCCCCCCACGCCATCTCGCTCAAAAAAATATTACCCCAATCCACGCCTGCAAATTCTTCTGGAAGGATTTTCCCCCCTCTCTCCAGGTTGGGCGCGTTTGGTGCAAGATTCTCGGGATCTTCGGCTTTGCCTCTCCTCCCCCTCCCCCTCCTTTCCTTTTTCCTTTCCTTTCTTTCTTTCTTCCTTCCTTCCCTTTCCTTCCCCCCACCCCCACCCCAAACAAACGAGTCCCCAATTCTCGTCGGTCCTCGCCGCGGGCAGCGGGCGGCGGAGGCAGCGCGCTGCGGTCGCGGGGAGCAGGGAGCCCAGGGCGCCCGCTCCTCGGCGCAGCATGTTTCAGCCGGCGCCCAAGCGCTGCTTCACCATCGAGTCGCTGGTGGCCAAGGACAGTCCCCTGCCTGCCTCGCGCTCTGAGGATCCCATCCGTCCCGCGGCGCTCAGCTACGCCAACTCCAGCCCAATAAATCCGTTCCTCAACGGCTTCCATTCGGCCGCCGCCGCCGCCGCCGCTGGCAGGGGCGTCTACTCCAACCCGGACTTGGTGTTCGCCGAGGCGGTCTCGCACCCACCCAACCCCGCCGTGCCGGTGCACCCGGTGCCGCCGCCGCACGCCCTGGCCGCCCACCCCTTGCCCTCCTCGCACTCGCCACACCCCCTCTTCGCCTCGCAGCAGCGGGACCCATCCACCTTCTATCCCTGGCTCATCCACCGCTACCGATATCTGGGTCATCGCTTCCAAGGTACGTGCCACGTCGCGGAACTGAAGCGCGCCGCTCCGGTCGCCTCCTTCACAGTGCCGGGCCTGCTCCAGGTGGGCGCTCCTCGAGGCCTGGGCGGAGGTCAGCCCGTGTGCCCGGTTCTGAAACCAGGCAGCGAGGGGCCCGCGTGGCGTGGGTCCCCAGTTTCTGAAGCCGAGGTTCCTTTGGGTTATTGACTTGTCCACCCCTTGACCTTTTGGAAAGGGGCGCGAACGAGGTGTACGGTGGTATGCGTCGGGGTCGGGCTGGCTGGAACAAGCTACCGCTGTGTCAAGAAGCCCCGAGCCCACGAAGTCCCCAGAACCCTGGTCCCCTGCACCGTGTCCCCAGCCAATCTGCCGTATCTTAGGGATTCAGACCGGGCCCCTCGGCCAGGTTCATCGGACTGTTGAACTCCGCTCTACACCCACTCCACGCCCCGCTAGCCCATATCAGAGACTTTTAAGTCTTCAAACCCCTTGCGGAGGCAAGGGGACCTTCGCAACCTCAGAGCAAACAGTTTCCTTCCTCCAGCTCTGGAGGCCCAGGGAGGGGCGGAACAGAGCAAGCGGACACCTCCGCAGCTCCACTAGCCCTCCTCTCGACCTGTTTAATTCGGGGGACCCGCGGACGCGGCGGGAAGGCGGGTTCCGTCTGGTTTCTGTTTGGTTGATTTTTTTTCTTTAAAAAAGAAGGAAAGAAATTAAGAAAAAGGAAAGGGAAAACCTAATCGAAAGAAGGCCCAGCAAGGGAAGATCTGTTTGGGTGTCTTCGTTTTTTCTAATTTATTAATTTTGTTTGCTTCGGGGTAGGGGTTGGCAGGGAAGGTAAAACTTTAGGAAAAAGGTTCGAATATTTAGTTTGTCGACTGGAGTCCGCAAAAGACCCACCTCAGGCGGGGCAGGATCAATACCAAGGGGCTTGTCCGTTCAATAACACTTTGCATTCCTGTCAGAGTCTAGAATCGGGTAAATGCCACCTCGTCGCTGTATTGAAAATTAAAAAACAAAACAACAAACAAACAAACAAAAACCCAAACCAAAGTAATACACCTTTCTCCCTTAGTTCAGTACTGAATTTACCTCCACTCCCGCTGGAACTACCGGCTGATTTTTCATTGTTTGGATTTTTAGTGAATAGATTTACTTTCTTTAATAAGAGAAGCCGAAATAACCCAGCCTTGGTTTCAAAGTTGAGAGCTCAGCTTCCCCATTCTCGGCCAGCCAAGTTCTCGGTCGCCCACCACCTTCAGGAGCAGCCTGGATCTTCGTGGCCGCAGACTGTCGCGGACACCCTGAGGCTCGGTCCCTCCACTCTGCTCTCCTAGCTTTCTGCAACCTGGGACCCCCAGAACCGAGTACTCTGGAGGCAGATGCCTTAGAAACTGGGCGTGCTCGCCTCAGGATTTCTGTCCCGGCCCGGCTGCAACGACTCGGCCGGCCTCTGCTGTTTCCCAGCGAGATAGACAAAAATTCTTGAATAAATCCGTGAGAAAACTAAGGGTAGAGTCCCGCTGTTCTTTCCACGCTTAAGTAAAAAATTTAAATAGACTAGAAACTAGACAACCTATTCTTATTCTTATTTTTGGATGGTGGGCAGCAATCTCCCGGCCCGGTCTCTGTCGTCCTGGCTTCTGCTCCCGACACCCGGCATGGAGGTATCCCGGCCTGCGGTGCCAGGGCAGTTGCGGAGCCCGCGGAGGTCTGGAGCCTGAGGAGTGGCCCTTCAGAGACGACTGCTATTTGGCTACCGCCCAAGTTGGAGCCCCGGGGGCCAGGGTCCGGCGGTTCAGCCGGTGTCCTTTTCAAAAGCCTAGGGAGAGCCACCGGCCCGGCGGATCTGGTGCTGCGGACTCGGCAGAGGCCCAGGGAGCTATGCTGGGCCAGCCCGGCTCCGGAGAAGCTGGCGACTGGGGCCTGGGAGGCCCCCTAATGGTACTTTGCTGTGCCCCCTACAGGGAACGACACAAGTCCCGAGAGTTTCCTTTTGCACAACGCTCTGGCCCGAAAGCCGAAGCGGATCCGAACCGCCTTCTCGCCATCCCAGCTTTTAAGGCTGGAGCACGCTTTCGAGAAGAATCATTACGTGGTGGGAGCGGAAAGGAAGCAGCTGGCGCACAGCCTCAGCCTTACGGAAACTCAGGTGAGTGTGGCCCAACTCTAGGATACCCCCTCCAGACGCAGGCTCTCAGAGCCCAGCACACCCACTAGTGCCGACATCGGAGAGGGCTCGCGGAGTTTATGTCCACGCCAGAGCTCCGGATCTGTAACTTTCCAGGTGCTCGGCGTTGTTAGGGCAGTATGAGTTGCAGGGATGAGCTCGTTCTTCTGCTGTGCTGCTCAGGCCCGGGCAACTCCAAGCCAAGCCACCTCTGTACTTTTGCTGAGAGTTTTGGTGAGAATCACGGAGACTCAACCGGGGTCCGAGATGCGGCTAATTGCGGCAGGGTGTTCTGGTGACTGGGGTTCAAGACCGGAGAGGGTAGGGAATTGTTCAGATACACGTTCTGAAAGACTCCAGGGTCCACTCGATTATTCTTCTTAAGGGAATGCCGGGAGTCAGGAGCCGGAGGCCAGGCAGGCTGGGCGATCTCGAAAACTAGACAGTTCACAGAGAGCTACCCTTAGGGGACCCGGCCTTCCTGCGCTGCAAGTGTTGGCGGCCTGGCTTGGGTTAGTCCCAAGGCGGGGAGGGGGTTTCGGTCTACAGTAGGCGCTACCGTACTCCCAGCCGCGAGGCAGGGTCAAAGTTCCCAGTAAACAGTAACGTTTTGGGGCAGAATAAGTTGTACTGCTTTTTCTAAGAAGCTCAAACCGAGGTTTTTATTTTTAAAAAGTTCTCCTCCACGGGGGCAAAATAATAATAATAATAATAATAATAATAATAATAATAATAATAATAATAATGTCTTGCGGGTTTGTGCAGGGTGGGCACAAGGCAAGGCCCAGCTGATTCCGCCTGGACTGGCGAGAGGCAGCGGTGGTCTTTGTCCGCCTCGCTGCCCACACTGCCTAGAGCCTTTGTGTGCCTGTCAAGCCCGGAGCACACCGACTTGCGCTTTGGGCAAACGCAGGGGTTGTGGGGGTGGGTGAACTGTCCTCCCCCTTAATTAGCGAACTCAAAGCAAATTAAACTCAGCCTTGTTCCCGCTCTGCTTTTGCATGGGGGCACTTTGGGGGACTGGGGCATTGGGGAGAACAACAGGACCCTGTGGCAGTCTTAAAGGTGGGAGTGGAGTGGTATCTCAGGAGCCCAGGGGCTCTGACTGCGCCACCTGGTCAGGACGCGGGCTACAGCCACTACTTCATCTGGACAGTCTTCTTCATCTGTACCACGCTGCTGGACAAACTTGGGCAGTGCTGCTGAATGGAGGACCCACCGCCCAACTTCCCCAGGCGGCCATTGATGGCAGCTGACTTCAACCTTACTGCTTCCTAGACTCTTAGCTGTAAGCTCTGGGGAGGCCAGGCTATCAGACCCTCTCCAGAGGGAAGAGTTGTGGCTGAGGTTGAAGCTGACCCTACCCTGTCTGGGGGCTGGACGGCAGCGGAGAAAGAGGCTCTGTCCTTCTGCCCCCTGTTCAGTTTCTTTTACTTCCTTCCTAAGTCACAGTCTCCCTGAAGCTTTCACTTCGGCCAGGCCCCGAGTGAGGCCTGTAAAGTCGCTGTCCCCTTGGCTTCCTCTGGGCCAGGCTGGTCCCTAGTCCTGCTCACCTGCCACTGTCCCCCAGCAGGGCCTGAGGACAGGCAAGCCCCTATCCTCTCCTCAGGGCCTTGGCCTGGCTGAGGAGGCACTATATTTAGACAACTTCAGACTGGCAGAAAATAGAAAGCACATTAGGCCCCGCAGAGACTGAGGTCTTTTCTGCACTCACTGGATGGGCAAACAAGAAACATGCTTTATTTTTTCTTTACATTTTTCCTTACTTAATTATTTTTACAAAGTTTTGCACGCTTCTAAAAAAGCCTTTGCTCTCGGCGGGAGAAACAGCTTCGGCCCTTGGGGGAAAGGGTCCTTACTACATTTTGGAAGGAAAGGGGACTAGGCTTCTCACCTGGAGTCCTGTTCTCAGGGAGGAGACCATGGAGGGGTCAGTGCTTAGAGTACGTGTCTGGGGGTGCTGAGGCCAGGCCTGAGCAAGGGACAGGCCTCTGGCATTTGATAGGAAGGCACTGTGAAGCATCTAACGATGCCCGCTTGCCTCTCCCCACAGGTAAAAGTATGGTTTCAGAACCGGAGGACGAAATTCAAAAGGCAGAAGCTAGAGGAAGAAGGCTCAGATTCTCAACAGAAGAAAAAAGGGACACACCACATTAATCGGTGGAGAATTGCCACCAAGCAGGCGAGTCCGGAGGAAATAGATGTGACCTCAGATGATTAAAAGTACAAACCTAATCCCACAGAAATGGACAGCATGGAGCAAAAGAGACAGGGAGAGGAGGGAAAGAAAGAAAAAACCCTACAAAACCAAACCAAACTGCACACACATTCACCAGGAAAGGGAGAGAGGGAGTCAGAGCAGCGGCTCGCAGCAGACTTTGGACAGCGAGGGCACTGGACCGGGCACTGCGCACGGAGGAGATGGCAGAGGACGGAGGCCCCTTCATCAACATGCAACCCTCGTCTAAAGAGGCAGCTGAGTGAGTGAGAGAGACAGAGACTGGGAGGGAGAGAGAGGAAGGGGAAGGAAGAATGAGAGAGAGAGAGAGAGAGAGAGAGAGAGAGAGAGAGAGAGAGAGAGAGAGAGAGAGAGAGAGAGAGAGAACAGGAACACGATCCGGTCCTTGTGAGGCAAAGGCACATTCTGACAAGAGAAGCTGTCAGTCAAATGCCAAACCAGGGAAACAAGATGATTGGCAGGTATTCCACTTATCAAAGTCCATTTAGAAATGATAATGATTTTTTAAAAAAAGGCACAGGACTTTTAATTTTGCACTTCACAGTGTTTCCCCCATCTTTGTTTAGAAATAACATACAAAATTCCATGTCTAGCCCCATCCTACACCTGTTTCAAAAACTTGAATTGCATGTAGCAGTTGTTGGGCGAATGGTGTCTAAAAAATGAATTGTAATTTTATTTTTCTGTTAAAGACAGGTTCTGTGTATTTTTATTTTTTCTGAGAAATGTGCAGTCTGTAAAAACACTTTTTGATACCTTCTGTTGTCAAAGTGATTGTGAAAGCTAAATGAAGTAGGCTCGGAGATAGTGGTCCTCTTACAGAAAAATGAGGGAGCAGCATTGGGATGGAGGGCGGGGGAGGGTGCCCCTGAGAAGAATCAGGACTTGTGCTGGGGGGTTGAACAACTGGAGCAGCAGCAACAACAATAACAACAAAGACCTAAATTAATTCTATTTCTTGGATATTTCCTTTCCTAACATTCTAAGACTTAAAACCACCAAGTCAATGTCTCCTTTCAGTGGCTGGGGAAATTGACTGCATCCAGCCACTCAAAGTAATGGCCATCAGAACTTTAAGACTGTCTATCGCAAAAGTGGAAGGAAGGACGATAGTTAACTGGGTGGTAGCGTGGCCAAGGACATGGGAGTTTTCAAGCACTGAGTTTCTCTTCCAAGACCATAGACTTATTAAAGAGGGTGACAAATGCTTCCTTAGTGTCTTCTATACCAGAATGTAAATATTTTTGTGTTTTGTGTTAATTTGTTAGAATTCTAACACACTATATACTTCCAAGAAGTATGTCAATGTCAATATTTTGTCAATAAAGATTTATCAATATGCCCTCAGAGTAGTTGTCTTGGGAAACTGAAGTGGATCTTTACAAAAGTAACTCTCTAATTCCAATGTAGTTTTTCTCCAACCAGACTTGCGAGACCCTGACTCCCCACCCACAAAAGGGCCTCACTGATGGCGTGGGGGGTGATGTATTTTAAAGAAATATGACTGGAGAAGGGAGATGATTAAGACAACCAAACTCTTTTAGAAGAGGGAAAGAAAGGTGAGAAGTTATTCAAGCAACTTGGTTGAAGGAGTTTAGTTTCAACTCCTGGCTAAAAAAACTGAAAAAAATTCTTACTTCTCTTTATCTCTGTTTTTTTTTCTTTTTTCTTTTTTAAAGTTTAGAATATAGTTATGAATTGAAGAACATTCTCCAGGAAAACTCTTAGAGCCTGAATTCAGAGGCTTCTAACTTTGTTTCTGACTTCAAACCCCTTAAGGACTCACTGTCGACCCCCTTTCTCTTCTTTTCCTCCTTCCTTTCCTCTCTCTTTTGGCTCTAATCTGCCAAAAGTGATGGAGATGAGCTCAAAGGTCCCAGACGCCTTATAAGGCAAGCATTCTGAGAAATCTTCCACTCTTAATTTTAACATAGAAAAGAAAAAGTTGTAACCATTCTCAAAGAAAACTTCACTCTTTTCCATCCCCCCTCCCCCTTCTGGGGTATGAGGTTGTTTTTGCATGCTTCATTTGCTTCCTATCCTGATAGGCTGCATTAATCAGTTTTATTTCCATTGATAGAGAAACCTCGTCTGTTCTGTTCGAGCTACAAAGCGTCCTGTGAGCTTTTGTGAAAGTGCAAATCAGTTTAAGCAATTATCATACCAGGAATATGAAGGGAAAAGAGGAGGCCTTGCCCAGTGGTCTCCTTTAATCTCTTAATCCACGGATCCAGGGGGGCTGCCTGGACATAATTTAGGACAATCTCCCCCACCCTTTACACTGTGATAAGGCCAAGTTACAATGCAGGGCAAAAATACAAGCTTTGTTAACATCCTGCCTTGAAAAGTTAAGATTAGACATTCTGTGCACGTGTGGGGACTATAGGGCACTATGGAATCTTTTCTTTCTGTTTTTCCTCCCCTCCTCTAAAGAAGAATTCATTCTCTACTTCTCTCCCTATCTTTTGGATCCCTGTATCTCAGTCACCCTTGTATCTTGGTCCTTGGGTAGACCTGGCTGCTCATACTTTGAGCTCATGAAGACCCTTCCTCAGAACTTCATGTTATAGGGGCCACAGGCAGAGAGAGGCAGTTTCAGGAAGATACAGGTGCAACTCGGGAATTCCACAGACTCGCGGGGGCTTAGGCTGCTTCCACAGTGGGACGGACGGTGAGTGTTAGTTCTACTCAGTGCTTGGCAGTAGCGGCTCCTGAAGGATACATCCTGTTCGCTTGAACAAGGGCAGGTTACCTTTTCATTCTGCCCACCTTCCCAAACCTAGAATGGCTTGAGTATAGAGTATAGTCTCGTTAAAATTGAGGCTGACCCTTCCGTAAAAAATGTCCCATCTTGATAAAAAGCTTTCTGCAGTAACCATATACTTAAATTTAAGTACAAGAAAGGGAGGTGTGGTGAAGAATTTTTTTCTAAATGTCCTATACAGTGTGACAGCAATAAAATCATCAGAGAATACTATTAGCTTTGAGGGGGAAAAAAACCTAAAAGCTTTATTACAAACCAAGCTTTGAAAATAGGGGGGATTAGGCGGCTGAAAGGGTCCCACAATGGTAAGAAGAAAAGGTTTCATGCTAATGAGGTTAATGCCCTTTGTATCTCGGGCCTCCACATCTTCATTACGCGCTATCTCCGGCTGCACCGAGCGGCTCAGAGAGCCGCAATCCACTCCAACGCCCCCCTTCCCGGCCCAAAGAAGGATTTGATAGCCGCTCTGTTCAAACTAGATAATTATATCTTTTCAAGTCGGAATTAAGATAAAGAAAGTGAAGCAGAGGCGGCTCGCCTTGATCCACTGCAAACAAATTTGGCGCACTTTCGAGTCCTTCCCCCCGCCTCAAAAAGGCAGGACAGTCAGCTTATTAGCCGCTCGTTTGCTTTATTAATTCATCTATTTAAAGTGGCAGGATTAGAGCGTCTAATGTGGGCGCGGGCTGCCGTGGCGCTGAGGAATATAAATATTTGCGAGATGCCATCCCACGATGCCTATCTGGGCGTAGGGCTGGGGCAGGGTGAGCGGGGGGGGGGGGGGCGCATATGCTTCGCGGCCCGTCCCCTTTTCTGTGCACTCGAGCTTGGCTGTAGCCCGCGGGAGCTGTGTGCCCACTCGTGTTCCATAGGTGCCAGGCCTGGATGCTCCTGGGCAGGGAGCTCTCTATGTGAATGGTATTCAGGGCTGTGTTGCTGTTCCAGAGCACAGACAACTGTATGCTGGTTGCCCTGTGTCTTGCTTGTGACTTGTAGGCTGTAAGTTGATGACATGTTTGCGGGATTTTCTCCCTGTGGGTCCCAACTGTGCCTAAAGGATGTTCAGGAGTCCAGGTTTTCAGTTTCCTTCTTCCTAATAGGGTCAAATGGAAGCGGGCCAGGTCTACATTCTCCTGTGATATACACCTGGGCGGAATGGTGGTTCTTCCTTCGAACCTATGCCTTCTCGAAGCAACTAAAATCATCCGGTGCTGGCCGAAACTTTGGATTTCCGGCTGTCACCGTTCCTAGCTAACGTTCTGGATGTATGCAGTTCCAGCTCCCTGGGACTCTGCTCCTGGCAGCAGAACCGAGCCGGAGCGGACGCGTTGGCTGAGGCCCGGAACCTGCCGGGCTACTTTTGTAGTAGGGGCGGATTGTGGGAGCCTGAGAGGAAAGCCAAGCCGGCACCGGCACCGCAGAAAGGGGGCTCCGGCCTGCGCGCGGCTTGGAAAACCTCGGCTCCTCCCCGTCCCGCCTCGAGTCTCAGGAAACCAAATCCGGGACACACTGGAGGGTTGGGGAGGATTCTGGAAGTTCGGAGGCCTGGCTCTGGGCCCCGCTCCGTGGTGGTAAGATAGGGGCCAGGCTGGGCTGTCTGCAAGTGGGCAGTTGCATATGGGTGAGTTAAGTGGAGGTCTGTGATTGTACCTTTGCAGTAGGTATGCGTCTCAGTCCACCATGGGGCTGTGTTTGTGGATTGTGGAAACTCGATTCAGCGTTCCCACCTAGGGCTCTAGCCGGTGTGTGGCGGTGCCAATCGTTTGCTTTAGTCAGAAACTGAGGAGGTTAGCGTTCCCTGCATAGATTGTGCCAAGATGTCCGTCTTCCCTTGTGCCTCTAGTCTGTTTTGGGTTAGGACAAGAACTTGCAGTCACAGCGCTGCGGATGAAGTGCCCATTAAGGTGTGAACACGCAGCTTACTCGGTTTGTGACCAGGTCTGGTTGCACAGGATGTCTGTGACTCCTGTTCGTTTGCATTTTAGAGGATAGTATGGAGTGTGTGACTTGTGGGGACACTTCTTCCTGTTTGAGTAGGGGGTTCCTTTGATGAGCATCCACGCCCAGCACTTAGAATAGTATTTTTGTATCTTGAGGTCTACGCTTAAGAGGAGTGGCGGCTTGGCTTGGGGTGGTGTTCTGGAAGTGCACCACCAGCTCCAGGAGTTCAGTAAACAACAGCGCGTTTTCGTAACTGCGCATCTTTTTCTAGGACGGTCTCTATTATTTCCGGAATCAGCGCTTGATTTATTTGGGTGCTGCCTCAGAGCAACTGCGGGCGGGGTAGAGGAGTACGCAGGCCTACAGTGCTGGGCCACCATGCCGAGATACCGAGCCCGGATGTCGAATTTGCAGTTCAACCCCCTGATTTATTTTCCCCAACCAGGCCCGTAGCGAGGGGGAAGTGGGAGTTTTGAGAACCCTCTGACCCCAGCAGTGACCCGGCTCTGGGAGGCAGTTTCTCCAGGCACGACCCTGTGCGCCAGGAAACCCGAAGCGGTGCCACGCTTGAAAGCGAAAGGTCCATTCATCAGCCGCGCCCCAGCGTCTAATTGGTCTTTTGTTCATTAGAGCCTGCTGCCCAGCGGGGGAGCTTGGGAGGGCCCCAGGCTGCAAGTCGGGGTGCTTGGTGCGGGCTAGGGGACGATGCCTGTGTCCCAGGCTGAGGTCTCCATAAGGGCAAAAGCCGTCGCGCTCCTCCGAGGGGGCGCCAGAGCGCGCCAAAGATCACAACCACGTGCAAAAATGCGTTCCTGGAGGCCAGCCTCCAAGAGTCCCGGCCGGCCGATCCTGGGGCTGCGGAAGCTCTGGCTTCCTCTCCACGTCCCTTTCACATTCCTCTGCAAACAGAGATGTCCTCTTGCCCCCTGGAGATTTCAAACCTGCCTTCTGGCCTCTCCCAAGTTTCCAGCCCAGACGTAGCTGGTGTGGCTGGATCGAACTCACACCCCGCCTTTCGCCATGCTTCCAGCTCCTGTCCTGGCTCACCACTCACCCCACAGACTTTGCACTCCTCTCCCTAGGCACCAACCCGTACTGTCGTGGAGCCGGCACCCCACTTCACTGAGAAGGGGACTGGAGAGAAATTTTGACACAAGTCAGGGAGGTGGGAACAACCCCAGATGGGGGAGGGAAACTGGGCCTCTCTCGTTCCAAATTCTTTGTCCATCTCTAAGTCAACTCACCTATCTCCCATCCCACGCATAATTTCCAAACCGAACCTGAGTGCCCCACCCCACCCTTACTGTCCCTCTGCGCACTCTCCAGAGGAACTCTAGACAGCACGGGGCTTCTCAGAATACACCCAAGGACCAAGACGCACCTGAGGGGCCCCAGTTGTGCTAGGCTGGGGACTGGGGGTCGCTTTTGGAAAATGAGCCAGAAGGACCAGCTTTGCCAGGCTGTGGACTGGCTGTCTGTAACCTCCCCGATCTCGGTGACTGAACCTATATATAGGACCGGGAACTGCTCCTGTCCCCAGCTACCTCCAGGTCGGGTCTATATATAGCCCGGGTCTCCACAGCCCCGACTGGACCCTGACGTCAGGAAGAACTTGATCTTGCCTGCTTCACTCCTGCTTCTG